TATATATATTCGCGTCCTGGCGACACCACACCACAGCGATCCCGCTGGATCCCGCTTTACTTTTGGGGCAGCGCGCCCAGTTGGTTGCAAGCCGCAGGACAGAGTAGCTGTGTGGTGAATTTGCGCAAAGACAGAAATTTGTGACGAGAACCCTCGTCCGCTGAGAGATGTGCTACAAGGCCAGGAAAAGAATGTTTTCAGTGAGAATAATTACAGTAAGAACGGAAATGTTACGGATTTGATTGCTGTCTTGGCGCGAATTATTACCCTCTCGTAGCCTAGCTTTTTTTTCGCAACTGTAATAATCTGGGTGCCCCCTACTCAGTTTTGTGAATGTCATACTTTCTTTATTTTTTATTATTTCTGTTTCCGTAAAGTTTCTTTACGCTTTTTGGCCTCTCTTTTTTTTCTAGCAACCCTGAACACAACTTCTGCCCCCTCCCGTTCCAAAAGTAGAACCTCAGCCCCCTCGAAAGGCGCCCAAGCAGGCGAGCACAAGTCACAGGGAGGCCGCAGTGCAAGTGCCACTGCCAGTGCCGCCTCGTCCAAGGACGTGCCGCCCAAGGCCAGGGCCCGGCCCACCAGTAAGTAGAGCGGGCGAAGGAGGAGGAGGAGTCCTGTCCGGCCAAACAGAACACGAGGAGGCTCGGATATATTTGCTTTTTTTCTGCCAGCAAAAGGGAGGCGGCCGGAGACCAGTGGTGACGTTCGCCCGAATAAGCCAATATCAGTCATGACTCTGAAGACGATGTCGAAATGGTATCGTCTCGACGTCGATTTTATAGGCTCGATATCTTTTCCATAACGTTCCGAACCCGTTTTCCCTGTCCTCTCGCTCTGATGATGACCCACACGAGATGTGCGAGGCAGTCAGAACTCCAGACTCATGACCAGTAAGCGTTGGGACTTTCCAATAGTATCGCGATATTTTTGACGTTATTCCCACCCAAACAACGTTTCAAAGTGATAGAGGTTTAGTAACGCGGTACTGTGCGCGTTACAGAAACCGGAAAATTTCACCGTGGCCAGTTGGCCAGTACATGGAGGCTTTCGCCCTACTCGGCCCTCTACACAGCAGTATTTTCAAAATAAAGACAAGATCGACCTTTCTGATGGCGAATCGCGCTCTAAACAGTCTTGACATCCGAGTGACGTTGTTTTGATTCCTCAACGTGCCGCCATAGTGAGCGTCCTCAAGGTAACGAGTTGGGGTGTCAAACGTTCTCTCGCTCGTGGCCACCGCAACTGGGCGCTTAGGGCGGGCCGCCGTCTCAACGCAGCTGCTCGGCGGGTTGGCCTACCTAGCGCGTGACAGGCGCTACAGTCGGCTGCGTCGCCCCGCGAAACGTTCATTGAGGGGGAAACTTACCTGAGTAATGAATTATGTACGTGTGCTTCTAGAACACCCGCTGGTCTCCGGTTGATACCCAATGTGTTTTGCCTTTTCCGAAGCCGACCCAGCTGTTGAGCCACCATTCTCTTAGCTAGCCTCTGTCAAGCCTCTTCTTTTTAAACAGACCCTCTGCTGTGACTTCTTTTTGATCCAGCTTTGCGTGTGTGCCGGCTTGAAACTGTGTGTAAGGTTTCCACAGTAGCTAATTTTCTCTTTTATATGTAGCATTACTTGTTTCTTTAAAAATGGCATTTACATTGGCATATTTTGACAATGGCGATCCTATCTAATGGAGGGTTGGCATTTGTTTAACACGTCGACAACATTCAATTTTGATTGTAATTGCCATTCCTCTCGTATCAAGTAATTTAGTGTATTCTTAGATGTTGTTGCCAATAAGCTTTCTCGTAGCTTCTGTAGAATATTAGCCTTTGTATTTTTTACACTTCCACTTTCACGCCTCACTTTCTTCTTTTCCTTCCTATATTCATTTTTCTGCATAAAACGTACCGGAAACTTTCGAAGATCAAACATCTTTATGGATTACTCGCAGGGTTACCGTTTAATTTTGTTTAACAAGCACAAAGTTCTCATTTCCCTACTGAACAATTTTCCTAAATATTTTTTCCTTCCAATACAACACAAATGTACCAACGACAAGCAGCTGTTACACGAAGACATCATCTTTCTTTTATCGTGTTTTTCCATTCACTATTTATTTCTGGGTGATATGCATGTAAACATCGCAGTGACATTATTTTATCCTTGCAAAGTCAGGGATGGGCGATGCAATAATAACAGCCACCAAAGCAAAGCTTTGTAATGGACTTTGAGATTGATTCGAGCGACACGTTGAGTGCGGGAGATGTTGAACTCCTTGGAGTATGACCCACACTCGACGCAGTAACATAAATTGTAGTGATTTAGATCGCCCCTCTATGAAAATCTTAGATGTTTCGATGAGCATTTCAAGTGGACAGCACAAACGGCCCATGTTGTTTTTTTTGTTTTTGTTTTTTTGGCGACGCTATTTCGTCGAATACGTAGTCACTCTCGCCCATCCCTCTCTTCATATCGAGATCTCGATCGAGATATCGGATCAAGTTGAAGCAGACTGGTACCTGGTGTGCCCTGTGCCCTGTGTCAGGCGGGGAGCCCGAGCAGGCGCCGGAGCCGCCGGAACCAGAGGAGCCGGAAGTGGATCTAGAACCCATCGTCAAGTCGCCGCCGGAGCCGACGCGGGTCAAATCCCCGGAACAGATCATCATGCGCTCGCCGGAGCCCGTCAACTGGACCGTCCCCTTGGACACCGGAAAGACTTTCACCGTCACCCAGAACGTCCCCGACGCCGACGGTGGGTGTCGGTCGAGGTGGCCCTCACACTACTAGAAAGAAATATAAATCTCCCCTATCTGTTTACCAGAAGGATTTTGAAAGGAATCTGTCCATTCATCACACACAAACACACAACTCAGATAAGACGCAAATTTGACGAGGAATACACGTTTGGTTTGACTGTGCGTTCATGAACTGCAGTAGATAATATGTAAGGGTTGCTCGGTTGTGTGTATGTTTGTGCACCCACCTCTATATCGATGCCCAGATAAAATTCCTTTGCAAACAACCTGTTTCTTAAAAAGTATATGAGCTTTTTTTTTTCTTCTCCAAGAGTTTGGTGGTGTGGTTCGTTTTGCTTTAGTTTCTTTTAGCAGATAATGTTTTCGTTTTTGTTTGCATGTTGTTGAAGTAAAGTGAAGTATGAAGCGCCTGCAGAGCGACCTCGTACTGAACAGCCACTTCTGTTTGCAGGAGAGCGACCCACCCCCAGCCCAGCCCCACCGACCGCCGCGCCCAAAGCCTCAGAACCCTCAGGTGAGTAACCGTCCGACCGATTCAGTCGTGGAAGGACGCAGCCGCCATACACCTGGCACTTAGTAGGCTTTTTAGTTATTTTTTGTCCTCTTAGACGAGATGTTTTGATTTTATTTTCTTTGATCTTTCACGTTGGTTTTATTTTGATTTTGTGTTACTTTATTTTTCCACCCCGATCCCCCGCAGAGGCAGAGACCTTGCTCGCCCTATCGCCCTCCCCCGTCCCCACAGACACCCCTCTCGGCTCCGAGCTGGGCTCCCGGGTCGCCTCCCCCGCCACGCTGGAGGTCATGTCCATCTGCCAGAACAGCGGCGGCCTCAGCAGCAGCCCCGGGCCCGACGTCCCGTCCCCCGTGCCCTCGTCCCAGGAGCTCCCGGATGGCAGACACCTCCTCAACGGCAAGCTCGACAACCACGAGGGCGTCTCGCTTTCCCTCCCGGACGGCGTTCAAGTGGCCGACTTGTTGTCCATTCCCGGGGCCGTCGAATCGGACGGCCAACTGGTCGAGATCCGAGACGAGATCCAGATCGAGGCAAAGCCCAGCGCAGAGGCCGTCAGCCAGCCGGGCAGCCTGCTGGACGAGACCAGTGACAAGGGGAAGTCCAGCGCCGAGATCCCCAGTCTGTTTGATGAGATGGAAACTCATAACACCAAGGTTGAAGTGGACGGTGTGGGCCTTTTCGACGAAATCGAAACGCCAACGAAGACCACTCCAAACGGGCACTCACATTCCGAAAATCTCCTCGATCTTTCACTAACATTCTAATCTCTTTAATATTTTTATTTTAACCGAATGAAAGTGCTCGAATGTCTGACATGTGCTTCTAGTCTGGCAGGGGAGGGTAGTTTGAGAAAAAAAATCCCCGACTAACTATTAAAATTTGCCTCATGGGTTTTCCCTGCAACTGCACCCTATTTCATCTGTTTATTTTTCACATTTTCTTGTGCATGCGGTTCTCAACTCAGACTCCCGCTTCCCCTTTCCTTGCTTGTGTTCTTTTTCTTTTATCTCTGTCATCTAGCATGCTATCCTGGACGGTATTGGTCTAATCTCGTGCTTCTGCGTGCTTTTTTTCTCTCTCTGATCTTGATGTCGTCTGGTGGCGGTTTCTGGCCTTAACGCTTGCTCTCTGCGTGTCTGATTCGCAGCCCCGCCTAAGCCCGCCCCGCGCAAGCCTGACCCCAAGGCGGCGGCAGCGCCCGCGCCCCCGGCGGCCGCCCCGGCCGCACCCGCCTCCGCGGCCAGCACCAAGCCCGCGCAGCCAGAGGCCAAGACCACCGAGGCCAAGCCTGCCCCGGCCAAGAGCGACCCGATGGCGGCGTCCACATACGGCAGCCTCGGAGGCAAGACCGCGTCTCCGGCCAAGACCGCCTCCCCGGCCAAGACCGCCACTCCGACCAAGACCGCCTCACCGGCCAAGAGCGTCAAGGCTGAACCATCCCCGGCCAAGTCGGCGGCCAGCGAGCCCAAGTCCGACCCCATCTCGTCGTCCACCATGGCGGGCTCGTACTCGGGCAGCAGCATCCCGATGACCGACTCGTCGCTCATGGGGAGCAGTCTGGGCGGGGCCTCCCTCAAGACGGACCCCATGACGGCGTCCTCGGCGGGCAGCCTCGCTGGCTCCCTCAAGTCCGACCCCATGGCCATGTCCATGTCCGGGAGCAGCCTCGGGGGTTCGTCCTTGAAGTCGGATCCCATGGCCACGTCGATGATGGGTAGTAGCCTCGGGGGCTCGTCTTTGAAGTCGGACCCCATGGCCAGCTCGATGATGGGTAGCAGTTTTGGCGGATCCTCGCTCAAGTCGGACCCCATGACCACGTCAATGATGGGCAGCTCCATGAGCGGCTCCTTTGACCCCATGACGTCGTCCATGATGGGCAGCAGTATGGGGTCGTCCAAGGCTGAGCCTATGAGCTCAGCCAAGAAGGACCCCATGACCACGTCCGTCATGGGCGGCCTGGGCAAGGACCCCATGACCACCTCCATCATCGGCTCCCTAAACGGGGTGGAGGACAAGACTGCCTCTAGCACGACGGGCTCCTCGGCCAGCGGCACGCTGAAGTGCCTGGAGGATCCGTCATTCGAGTTCGACATGGGCCGTCAGCAGCCTAAGGCGACCCCCAAGGTGCAGATCCCGACCCCTGGCGGTGCCGGAGGCGGCGCTGGAGGCGCTGCTGGAGGCGGTGCTGGCGGCGGCGCTGGTGGCTACCGGGTCCTGGAGGCGCCCACCCCGCCCCCAACCGCCTCCAGCCAGCAGCAACCTCCGCTCGCCTCCGCAGCGCTGGACAACGCGAGGGACAGGTTTGATAAGTTCTGGGGGAAGGAGAAGGAGGGCCAGTTGTAAGTAGCGCTGGCCAGATGGGTGTAGCAGTCTGATTTTAACAAAATGGGTAGTGGGTCTGGCGACGAATGGACGTTGTCTCTTTTGCGGGTACTCAGTCCATTCGGCGAGATGTCCCCTTAAGTGATAAAAGCCGGTGTGTATAAAAAAGAGGAAATGTGATGTGGTGACGGTGTTGCGAGGTGATTGTAAGCTGCAGCCAGTAGCAGCTCTTGGGCCTTTACAGTGTAGTTGAAATCGCATCCCCTCCCACCTGCGGCTGTATCAATCAAATGGACCAAAGAAGCGTTACTGCCAACCTGGGCGGAGCTCACGGACAAGTGTGTGGAGGGCACGCGTTCATCGGGAGTGGGAGTTTTTTAAACTCTAGCTATGTCTCTCTCTCTCTCGCACACTCCCATCTCGTAGTGCGTAACCTCTGTACACTTGCTGTGTGGGCAAACGTCTCATTGTGCTGGTGAGCTGCTCTAGTCGAACACCGGCCCAGCAGGGCTGGCCCCTGACCTGGGCGGGGCTTTGCCCTCGTCACTGCCCTCGGCTCTGCCCTGGCCTCAGAACGGGGATATTCCGCGCCAGAGTCAGAGTTCGGTTTCAACAGGACAGAATCACGTGAGACGGCCTCTGCCAATTTTTATTGTGTGATTTGTGGGGCAGACCAATTGGGTCCTGCGGTTTTGATGCTTTCTCTCGTTTCCCATAGACTTTTAATGTTCGTGTTTTTAGGGCAAAGAGTCATAACATAGCTTTTGTGGTTTTAGGTGCTATCGTCTGTTATGACAGCATTGAAGCAGTGTGATGTCATTTTGTACTGAATTTCCACTTAGGTAATTTTTCCCACGTTATTAAATAATTGTTCGCCATCTATGTAACATGAGAAATCACGTCCATTCAGTTTGAGGGTCATGTTCAAAACTAAAATGATCTTCTAGAGTGTTTACTTCATTAGCATTTATGGTATATCATGGGTTGCCCACTCTGAAGGGAAATGGACTGCAAAGTTTTCTCCTTGTGACACCCAAGCAGCACAAAAAGTAAGAGTGACTTCAAAATGGCAACAGCATTGGATTTGTAGAATAGGTATTTTGACTGTTGCTCGACCTAAAGGTGCTTCTTGGGGTGCTTATATTGTGATCATTTGAATGTGTGTATGTGTATTTATCATCGCAGTGCGGAAGGCTTATGTCAAGTTTGATTGACATGCAAATGTAAAACTTGTACAAATGAACAAAAATTCTATGTAAAGCAATTTGCTGGGAGCACAGTTGTGTTGTATGCTGTTCGGATAAGAACCTATATCTGGAGAGTGCAGTGTCACAATTATATTATTGTGTTATGTAAATACGAGATTACTTTCGTTATGCAAAGTAACATATTTGAAAACAAAGTTTATGTTAAAATATTATGGAATAATTTAATGCCGTCGTGTTATTTGAAAGATAACTTCACTTTAAAATGTCAGGTAAAGCTGGTCGGTTCTTATACTTGTTTACATAATGACTGACTACAATGTACTATCTAATTATGGAATTGTTGATTGGATTTGGCAAAGGTGTGTAAAACGACATTGTTTTAAACATTTTCGTCAAGACCAACACTATCCACATTTTATCATGCAAGGTAGAAATAGTCATTTCCAGTTCCACGGGTACATTAGGAATTTTTGTGTACTTCACGCCTTAATTTCATGTTTTGTCTATTTTTGCGATTTTTTCTTTAACCTGGTAAATAAAGCTTATTGCAAAAACATTGTTATCACATTTATCCCAAATTAACAATAACTGTACAATGAAAACTATTATTACAAATACTTACACATTACATATTTACAAACAGAGTCATTTTAAGTGTTCAACTGGAAAACACTTGCAAGTGTATGAAATTTATTATTACACGTGCAAGTCTTCTGTTGGCCACTTCAAATGGCAGTGTAGACATGAAGTAACGTTACACGCGTATACTGTCGTTGTACCTATGAAAAAAAAATGAATCAAAATATCGTATAAATTTAAATGTATGATAATAAATAAATTGCTACATTTGTCTTAAGTACCTGGTTATTAGGTACAGAGCTGTTGCTCCAAAAGAAACGCCAAGCAATTGCAAGAAAAGGGCGAGGCTAGCTGTTTTTCTGCCTTTGGTGCTCAGCTCCTCCTCAACCATAGTCTTCAGCTCGGGAGTCTAAACCGGACAAAAAAACACAGTATTTAAAAAAAAAAAAAGAGCACCTTGCTAAACCAAGTGTGTATCAACGCACGGTTCTGACTTATGCATGCATGCATACATTGTATCGTGCTGCAATATTTGCGTGAATTGCGTACGTAAGTATGCAAGTTTAGATGCTGCACACCTGTTCTGTGAACTTTGGTATGTACTCTCGGAAAATTCCCATCGAAGTGAAATGCATACACGTGTTGCTCATTAGCTCATGGAAATTAAATCTTTCAAGCACGCAGAAAGTGAGCTCCGCTCAGTGTGCATGTGTGACACTTTCGTGTACTGCGGCGTCCAGCCTGACACCTGGACTATCAATCCAAAGTCGCCCTCGCCGCGGCCCTCAGCGCCTGCAGATCCGGGGTAGGCCACCCCGCCGTGCGAGCGTGTTTCACGGGGACGCCTACCCCGCCGGCCACAGGCGCGATGTCATAGCCAAATACAAAGACATTTAAGTATTCGCGCACCGCGTCGGTCAGACAGTGATAACAGGAAGTGCAGTTATTACCGTAACTAGAACCCACAACTCGCGGCCACTAAAACATATTGGGAATGTCTCTATATCTTGCCATCACAGCCCCCCATCCCAGTGGACACTCACCAGGCTGCCGAGCGCGATGTAGAGGAACAGGCCGCCCGCGAAGGCGAAGATGAGGTACGAGTACTCCACCTCGCCGATGAGCACGCCGAGCACGAGGCCGCCGAAGGCCGTGCAGGCCGAGGCGAAGTTGAGCGCGAGCGCGCGCTTGAAGGAGACGCCCGAGTTGATGAGGATGGCGAAGTCGCCCAGCTCGTGGGGGAACTCCTCGCACGCAATGGCCAGGCTGATGGACACGCCCGTGCCGATGCTCTGCGTGTAGCCGGCGCCGATGCTCATGCCGTCCACGAAGTTGTGCAGCCCGTCGCCCAGCACCACCATCCAGGCCACGGCGGCCAGCCCGCCGCCGGGGCCCTGACCGCCATGCGAGTGGCCGTGCCCGTGGTCCTGCGGCAGCGCCAACAGCAGGTGAGACACGCGTCGTGCTCGAGGGTAGGATAGCGCCCATACGGAGTGAACAATTCACGTCATTTTAGCGGTGGGGTATTCTGCTCACGGTACTTTCTTTTAGCTGTTTTAGCTGTAATGGCACCTTCATGCGTTCACGGAGTGATTGGGATTATTTGATTATGTCGGCTAAAAAGAACCTCATAGGTGCGTGTGCGTGCGTACCCCCACTCTCTGAAACTGGCGTGATTCTTGCACTCTCCCTCCCAAATAAGCATTCAGAATGAATTCGTTTATTGGGACAACTGATAATTAGTAGGAAATGTTGAAAAGAATGCAAACTGTGGCCCGGCTACACTCTGTAAATACAAGATGTGGCATATCATACGTGTACATGTGCACATTTAGCCTAGGCCAACAACGTGCATGGAAGAGTAATCGTCCAGAAAATCGTCTGTTTTCCTAAGATTTATTCGGCAAATTACGGGAGCTCAGCGCCTGCGAGACTCGGGGTAGGCCACCCCGCAGCACTCGAGTGCATTGCAGGCGAGATGTTGCCTACTCGTCAGGCGCTAAGAGAGCTTGCGGAGGCTAAATAAACTTGGCCGGTTCATAACGGAGAATGGCGGACGTACTTTCTGCATGATCCCAGAGTTTGGGTCCCCAGACAGGGCCACAATGTGCTTCTTCTAAAGTTACCATGCTTAGATGCACCTTATCCGTTATTACAGAACGAAGGTGCATCACAACGCTAGGCACCCTTTGGAGAAACACACTGTGGACGAACTCCTTATGCATCCTGCTGTTGGTGTACGTTCAATATGTAGAGAGGTGCGCCCAGCGGAGGTGCCGAAAGCACTCCCTTTCCCGTGGAGCAAGCGACTTCGGCGGCTGAGACGCGGGTGTCACGCCGAGCCACACGTGCGCGTGGACTGATCCGCGGATATATCGGCGCGAGGAGTCCTGAGCACCCCGCGCCCCACCAGCCGGGAGATAACAACAAGGACGTGAGACAACAGGCGTCCCTGCCCTGCCCCGCCCCGCCCTGCCCGGCCCTGCCCTGCTCCGCCCTGCCCCGCCGCTCCTGTCGTGCGTGGCGTCGTCGCGGTGACGCTACCGAGCCGCGTCGGAGCCTCCACGCACCAGGCCACAGGCCACAGGCCAGGCCCACTGCCGCGGTATTGTTTTCAATAAACGAGTTTCGTTTCTCAGCGCGTGCCGCGCGGCTCCAGCTCCCGCTGCCGGACTCGTCCAACACGCGCCGCCGCCAAACGCGTTCGTGACGCATACAGGAATTAGCAAACTGTGCCAGTAGTGCGATGCGCCGCTGCCGCCGTCACACTACTGTCGCTGTCGCGCGGGTGCCAGCAGGCGTGCCAACTTGGAGCAACTCCGAGCACTCGAAAACCACATACATACCATTTTGTACGGAAACTGGCCCGCAGGGCCTACTCGCTCACCTTATGTTTGGCCTTTGCGGTCGTCGTCGCCATCAGCCCGTCCGTCTCGGGGAGGTGCCCGTCGGCGTGGTTGCCCTGGCCCTTCCTCTCCTTGAGCGCCAACCCCTTCTCTAAGCCTGCAACTGCATCCTTGGCGATGAAAAGCCAATCTTAGTCTCAGCACTTGGGGGGCGAAAATGATGACAAGAAGGGGGGGGGGGTCTTTTAGCCAGAAGACGGGCTTTTCCCTCCGCTTCGATTTCATCTGCCCGCATGACGCGGGACAGTATCTGGGGCAGTGGAGGGGAGACCTCACTACTGTCCGGCCGAATGGTCAGATAAGAGCAATAAGGGCGTTCAACTTCGAACCGCAATATTTCTCCCCGGGATACTTACAGGATCCTCGCTGCTGAAAAATATCTTGCAGGCCGTCTCGCCGAAGTACAGGAACCAGATACTGCTGAGCATAATGAGCCCCGTGTCCAGGTGGCTCTGTTCGCCCCCCAGAGTGAGGTTCAGGCTCTAAAAAAAAGACGTTGAAATGGATGGGTTTTCCGTGAAACGTCGCGAGTTTCGCAGAGGGAACGGAAATATTTGTTTTTGCGTCGGGGGTTTGTCATGTTATACCTCCGGTATGAGCTGGAAGATGGAGGTGGCGGTGAGCGAACCAGCGGCCAGCCCGATCAGGAACCTCATGACGGTCGAGTAGTAGCGGCTGTTGAGCAGAGGCCACAGCAGCCCGCCGAAGATGCCAGAGAGCGAGATGATGCCGACAGAGAGCATTCCCCATCCCCACACTGGCGAGGAAAAGGGGAGAAGGAAAAAAACTGAATTAAATGATGAATTGGGCGAGGCGAGCAGAGGGATGTGGTCAGGTCAGGCGTACCCGCGGACTGGCTGGGCCGCTCACTGTACAGCGGGGGCGGGACGGCGGTCGTCGGCCTGTCCGTCACCGCCTCGTCCAGCTCGAACAGGAGGTGGCAGGACGCACGAGTACACTGCGGCACGGAACATGACCGCGAGATCAGGGTGACTGTAGCCGGATCACTAAAGCGTACACCAATCTTCACTAGTTAGTAGAGCGACAAATAGCCCGTACGGTTAACACGTTCAGTGCGGTGTGACCAATATGTGGTCACGCTCCCATGTTAAATCACAGGCACCGTAAACGAGCCGCCTTGAACGTGTGAAATGATTTCTTTGTATCAACTCAGACTCCCCACGTCATCAATTATTATAAGAAAATTTGTCCCCCGGATTACGAGGGCGATGAATCTGGTTGCGTACGTTGGCGTGCGTGATGCAGAGCGAGGGCTCGTTGGGAGGGCGCATGGAGTAGCGGCTGTGCCAGTGGTCGCAGGAGGGCACCAGGTCGTCGGGCCCCTGGCCGCCGCGGCCCCCGCCCCGGGGCCCCATGGCCTCCCGCAGCTCGCCCCAGGTCAGGTTGAACGCCCTGGCCTCCTGGGTGCCCAGCAGCAGCACCGCGAGCACCGCCGCCGCGAGCACGACCGCCGTCATGGTGGACACTGCCAAACAGAAAAGCGGTCGTTGCGAGGGACGCCGTCGATGGCTGTGCGTGCGTGGTGGTGAGGGGGCTCCCACCTGAGGCGCCGTCCTCGCCGAGCGGTCACGATGAGTGCAGGACGATGATGGACTGCCAAGTATCACCGTCCGAACTGCGGGAGAGAGGACTCACTGTCAATGCCTTCGTTTGAACGCCCCGGCCGGGCGCCACCCTCCCCGTCCTCCCGCTTACCGTGTCCATGCTGCTCCAGAGCTGTTGATGCTCCCGGACCTGAGGCTGACGGCAGAGTGAGGGTCGGCGTGGACACGCCTGTGCACGACGACGCTCGTCCAGAGCCGATGATACCTGGAAGCAGAGGACGGTAGTCGGTCATTGCCAAGGCGACGCGGGGACGGGGAACGCTTCCAGGTCCGGGACCTTCCAGGGCGTCACAGTCCGTCTCGCGTCCTGGTCCTGCCCTGCCCCGGTCGCTCTGGAGACGCGCTCGATGCCCTTCCGCTGTGTTTTATCGCTTGGCTTACTCGCTCTTTTCCGCATGCTCCTATCCTCATCCATTGAGCGCCGCCCGTGTCCGAAACCGTCACGTCGCTTTTTGTTGTTTTCCTCTAAAGGCCCCCCCCCCGTCGTCGCGGACGACGATGGGGAACAACGTGGACAAGAAAAGTGAGACTGGCTAATGTAAAGCGAGGTGGGAGAGCAGGGGAGTTGTTGAGGTGAGATTTGGTGGTCGTTGACGTCGTTCACATGACTGACTTTGGACAAAATATTTTCACTGCCTCCCCCCC